ATAGAGAGAGAGAGAGACACACACACATATATATATATATACATCTACAAATTCGTACACATTTTTGATGGACCGCAGAGCTCTCCCCCAAACGAGCGATGCCAACCGAGCAACACCGAGAACGGTCGCGCTGTGATTCCGGCGGCGGCAGCAGGTCGCGACCAACGCCCTCCCCCCCCCATATCATCCTCTCGCCCTCTCCCCACCTCATCCCTCTCACCCCCCCTCACCCTCTCACCCCCCCTCTCCCTCACCCTCTCCCTCCTTCGCCTTCGGGGCTGCTCTGCAATGCCAAAATGGCCGCCGACGCCCGGCTGCTCGCGCCCCTCGGATTGCCCTCAAAAGCCGCGACGCTCGAGCTCACCACCTCTCGCCCCGCCCACCGCGCGCGCGCGCTGTTGAGTGACGGCAACGGTTGGGTCCGGGGAGTGCGAGGGGGTCGGGGGGGAGAGAGATGGGGTGGTGGCCTCTGGGTCCATTCAAAGCTGTGAGGCGGCGGCGGCGGCGTGGGTCAGGGACACCTCCGACGAACGGCGAGTGGTTGCGGCCGGGCCGCTTGGGCGGGAACTACGACTCCCGGCGACCCCCCCCCCACCCCGTGCGGTGCCGCGCAGGCGCGGTCGGCGGCCAGCGGTGGGAGGGCCCGGGGTGGGCCCGCGCAGACTCAGGAGCCGCGCTCTGACCGGCGGCTGCATTGTTTTATTGAAACCTAACGGCTCTGAGACGGGCGACGCCGCACGAAACCTCTCCGCCGTCTTCTTCAGTCGTGACCCCACTCCTCGTCCTCCTCCCTTCACACTCACTCACTCACAGACACCGACTCCTCGCCACACCGCCGGGTCAGTCCAGTCAAGTCAGTCAGTCAGCAATGTCTACTCACAGGTAGGAGGAGAGCTTAACATTGATGTGGAAGCCACTGTCCCTCCTCTCCCCTCCTCCACCCCCCAACTCTCCCCTCCTCCTCCTCCCCCCTCCTCCTCTCCCCTCTCCCCCACCCACCCCCCCCCCCCCCCGGGCCCCTCACCCACCACCTTAAATAAATCTGTTTAAAAACAAAATACATTTAAGATTCAGGTGACCTGAAAGTGATGTGCATTAAAGCTTCTTGTACTGTGGGCGTCAGGACATGTTACTGGGATGGATGGCCACGAATGCACGATGGCTCAGGTTATCTGTCTGATATATATGTATATATATATATATATATAGTGTGTGTATGTATGTGTGTATATCATAAGGTTGTTTTTTAAGCATTAATTAAACTGACCGTGTTTGATTTTTTTTTGATGCTCTGATGAGGAAGGAGGAGGCGGATGGTGGGTGTGTTGGTGGTGGTGCGGTAGGGAATACAGAGCGAATAAACCAAAGCTTTACGAATACCCAGAAGAGTGGCATTACTGTGTGACCCCTAACCTGCGGATGGTCAACTTTCTGAGTTGTTTTCCATCGATCGGAAATTGGCCCGTTTGCAGATTCTTCTTTTTTTTTAAAAAAAAATATCGTGGTGCGTCGGTCGTAATTTTTGCAGTCCCCGGCAGCCAGGATGATAAATGTGGTCTTTATGAAAAGTTCGAAGTGCAAAATAATGTTATGAGGCTCAGCTTTTGAGTTTCCACAACAATCTTTAAAGTGCTCACCTGCCCGGACTAGTCTTAGACTTGCAGAGGAATTTGTTACCAGGTGAGTATTCAGCAGATGTTTGTCAGCTTTGATAAGCATCTGGGATATATATCATTGTGATTTGCTGTGTGACCTCCTTGGTTGGCATTCACTGACGATTGATTTTAATGCAGTACCTGGGAGTGGGCATCCAAACCAGGAAGAGATTACAGAGATTGTAGAAGGGAATGTTTACAGTGGAGGAGCGATTATTGAAGTGTATCTTATCTAGTATTTCAGATAGGAGAAGGAAGACACCAATACCTATTTCAACAAGGAGTCATGTTCTCAAATTCAAAAGGGGTGAGAGTGAAGCTTAGATTTATTTGTCATTGTCTTGGAAATCTCCAAAGCCTTTAATGGAGTTCTGTAGAGTATTGGTTGGAGCACTTGCCTTGCAAGCGAGCGGACCTGGGTTTTGATTCCCGGGCAGGGCGAAACATTAGGCAAGTTTCTTTAATCCACTTGTTTCTCTTCACTTAGCAGTAAGTAGGAACCCAGTTGTTCGGCGATTGGAAAATCACTTTCTGGGGATAATAATCCTTTTGGAAAAAAATTGGGGACACTCAATCTGCGATTGTTTGTGGGATACTGCTACGCGGAAATGGTTGCAACATTTTACCCCAAAAATAGTCATTTTACAGCACATCCTGTGAAGTGCTTTGAGACGTTTCAGTGACGTGAAATGGCGCTTTATCAAATGTGAGGATTATTCTTATAATAAGGGCTGGAATGAGCAGTACCAAATAACTTCAGGTGCAAACCCTTGACTATCCAGTGCATTGGGACATCCTCCTGATGTGAAAGGTGATATATAAGTACAATTTTTGCTGTTGGAGTGCCTTGGGACGTCCTCCCGACGTGAAAGGCGCTATACAAATATAATCTTGTTGTTTGTTTTTACTGCCTTATGATCTTCCACCAAAATTTGATCATGGTCATCTAGCTTGCTTTTAGATTATTGTGTCTGTGCTGTAATAAATGGTTCACTTCTGAGGCTCTTTTCAACTGAGGGGTCCCTATTGCTTTGTTCCATTTTACAATTGTTCCACTACTTTCTCCTCATATCAGTTATTCTATTGCACTTATTTTTAAAACCTTTTCATTCTTTTTCAAAATCCATTCCACTTTCATCACCTTCCTTCAGAATATTTTCCATCAGTGCACAAAACCTTCATTCCTCTTGTTGCTCAATGGCTGAATGATTAAATATTGATCTCCTTACATGCTTGGAAAGGGCAGTAAAATATTTTTTGACAATTTTTTCATTCGTCTTACAAAAATTAACCAACAGCTATTACTTTGTACCTTTTATGTTTCTTCTTTGAGATATTCTTCAATTGACATTTTCAGCCCTGTTTTCATCTCTGATTTCAATGAAATTTCTTATCTCTTTCACTGTTGTCAACCTGTCCGCTCCCACCGCTCAGCAAGCTCCGGCCTGCCTCAGGTCTCAAGCCCAACCCGCCCTTCCATCGGCGGCTGGGTTTTCAGCCTCTCTGTCCCCTACTCTTTGGAACTCCATCCCTCAATCACTTCACCTTGCTCCCTCTCTTGCCTCCTTCAAGGCATGACTCAAGGCCCTCCTTTTTGACCATGCCCTCCTACCACTCTGCCCTCCCTCATCTCAACCCTGCCCCCCCCATCCTTGGATCCTGATCCCTGACTGTTCAGCACTTTGGGATGTTCTCCCCATGTGAAAGGCGCTTCACAAATGTAATCTTGTTGTTGTTGTCAGGCTGACTCAGTCGGTAGCACTCTCATCTCTGGATCAGAAGTTGCGGGTTCAAACCTGAGTCATTGTCTGATTGACCAATATTATTGTACAATAACAACAAATTTATATAGAGCCAGAAGGGCACCCCAAGGCGATACAGTCGAGTGTTTATGCCCAATATGGGGGTTCGATTAAGAGGGTGGAGGCAGTGGGGGTGGGAAGATGACTGAAGGTGCGGTCAAAGAGGAAGGTCTTGAAATGGACCTGGAAGGAGGCAAGTGAAGGAGCTAGGTGAAGGAACTCTGGGATAGAGTTCCTGAAAGTGAGGGCAGGGAGTTTAATGGAGTTAATAATAATAATCCATGCATTTGATATCGCGCCTTATCACGTCTTCGAAACGTCTGAAAGCGCTTTACAGAATAGACTATAAAGTGAATTGACTATATATTTTGTGGGCGAAACACGGCAGCCAATTGCAAACAGCAGTGTCCCATGAACAGTCGTGGATTTAGTGACCAAATTATTGTTTCCGCTGTTTGTGGAAGGAAGAGTTGGGTAATCTGGTGAGGTGGGAGGCCCTAAGCATTCACAAGATACAGTGAAAAAGGTATTTCACATTTGTAGGTGTGATTTACATCGTAGGTTAAAGTAAGTGAAAATTTTAGTTAATTCATTGGTGTCGTAATAAAATACTATTCCTAAATATCTAATTAATTTCCGTAGTGGTAGCGTAGTTACTACGACAGTCCCAGCTGCCAAAGTTGTTAATCAATTTGTGGTAAACCAAATGCAAAGGTGATATATTTACTAGTACTGTGGTCTGAGAGCTAATGGTGCCAAAAATCAAGCCTTTCACTTTGCGAGGCTGTAACTATATCCCAGAGCAGCCTACCCTGGCAATGGAGAAGCTTCAATAATCTGCTCAGTGCTAAATATTTGTGATTATTTGATTAGATATGCAGATGTATTATACGTGTCAGCCCGGTTCAGATGGGTCAGAAGATTGCAAGTTTAAATCCCAATATCCGGACTTTGAACTCGCGGAATAGGCTGACGCTACAATGCATTGCTCGGGGTGCACCGCATTGTTACAGGTGCCGTTCCTTCAGCTGAGCCATTAAACCAAGGTCCCGTAAGCCAGTTCAGGTGGATGCTAAAGGTCCAATGGGGAACTGTTTGGAAAGAGAAGGGAGTTGTTCCCGGTATCCTGGCTGGCAACCCCCCCCCCCCCACTCCAGATAAAATTAGTAATCAATTTATAGTTGTTCGTGGGACATTACTGTGCGCACATTGGTTGCCAAGTTTACCTGCAAAGATACACATTCATTGCAGTGAATCCTGTGAAGTGTTTTGAGACATTTTCCAGACATGAAAGGTACAATCTTAAATGGAAGAATTAATTTTTATAGTCTCTCCTCCGATCACTTGGCAACATTTTGTTATCCACCTAATACATTGAAATCTAATGTAGTAGTATGGAATTCTTGCCACTGAATGATTTTTTCAAAAAGAAAATTATAGGAATATGAGTTCTCTATTTTGTGGCAGAAAGTTAGTACTGTGTTTCAATTTATTCCACAGGTCCTAATGAATTTGAATAGAGAATTTCAGCAGATCTTGGATCTCAGATGTGTAGAATTATCCATCTCTATGTCAAACCTCTAGCAATAAAAGATTTTAGGTAAGTGCAGGAACCTTGTGAAACAGAATCAAGAGCTGTGTTCTTTCCCCTTTACTAGAGCTTTAATATTTATTTTTTTTGCTAGGTGCTGTAGAAGTCTTAATAATGTGAAGATGAGTTTTCTCGGCACTGTGCACAATCTTTTTCTGGCTATATGTCTGATGTTGGTCCTCGGATTTCTTTATTATTCCGCTGGCAAGTTACACATGCATGGATGGGGACAGGAACCACGTAAGTTAAACTTTAATTTTCTAATCTGAGATGAAAGATACATCATGAATGCATCACATACAAAACACAACACAAAGCTATTGTGTGACCTGAAGTATTGGTCCCCAAAGCTTGGTGTGTTCCATACAGTTATTTGGCACAGAAACGGTGCCATTCAGCCCAACTCGTCCATTCTGGTGTTTATACTTGGCATGAACATCAACTTCTCCTAATATGCATCTACTTTAATTGATGCCATTTGCTTCGACCACAACATTCGTTCACAATACACACAATCACTGTAAATCCTGTGAAGCGCTATGAGGTGTCTTCCTGACATAAAAGATGCTTTACCAAATGGAAGGAATATTATTACTTCCAGCAGTGAATTCCACATTCTCATCACCCACTCTGCATGAAGAGGTTCCTCCTACCCTCCCTGTTAGATCTGCTACTGACCATTTTAAATTTAAGTTCTCCAGTTTTGGAGCCAATGCATGTGGGAAAACAAACAAGGTGAGGGAGGATTGTGATTTATAAGTGCATAGCATTCTGTGCTTTGTGTTTTAAATGGTGAATTATTTGCTGTGGAGTGGGTGTCACCTGCCCACTCCTGTTTGATAACCTTGTTGAATTCATTGTGCCTATGTATTTATTGTGGGGTGAATGCTGCATAATCCCAAATTCAACCAAAATAAATGAATTGGTTATAAATCTAACAGCAGTTTGTAACACATAGCTAGGTATTTTTGTCTACGTAACAGTGAATGCACGTCAAGGTGACTTGCTACAAAAGACGCTGTGAGATGTTTTAAGATGTGTTCAGGCACTATATCGAGCATGATTATTATTTTTACTAATGATCCCATTGTTACATGCAAATACAATTTAATTAATTTTAATAAATAGTGTTATAAGGAGAATATTCTGAAACTGAACATTGAGAGCCAATGAAGAGGGAGATGATAAATGACAAGTTTGACCTAACTGTTGATAAATTGGTGTGACCAACTGATCCGAACAGCTCATGTTCTGTAAGAAATTGAATTGTTTTGCGCAGATTCAATTACACTCTCAATACTTTTTCTATTTCCATAGACAAATGACCGAATGTTCAAATGGTTAATCATTAATCAAGACCATTATTCCTTCACATTCTGGAACGAACAATCTCAGCTCCCCATGCCTGAAGGTTTGGTTCTGGATCCCAGTCTGTGCTGATGGGGGTCAGAATGTCCTGCTAGATTTTTATCAGAATTTTGAAGTTGAAGAGTAGAAGGAAAATCTCATTCATAACCTTTAAATACTTTTGAGAGGAGAAACTTGTCAGAGTACGGGGTAATTTTAGATAGAGGAAATTTTGTTAAAAAGTGCTTTGGATGTAAACTTTGGAAAGTTTTTTTTTTCCCTTGCCACATAATTCCTTGTCATGATGTGGTGTAGGCGTATTGTTGAATCTGGCGAGTGTGGCTCTGAATCTGTGTTTTATATTTAGGATACTTGCTGTGGCAGTGATTACCAGTGGAGGGATTTATGGGTCTTAGCTGAAATGCTGACTATATCTGGACAGGAAATATTCCCTGATTTAAAATTATATTTAAATGTTGATGACCATCAGCAGTAGTATTTTGGGTTGTTTAGTTGGCTTCTGGGTCTCGCAAGTGCAAATCGTGTATGGATGGATTCAGGTAACTACAAAATAATAGATAGCCTTAGGTGGGCCAAGCTGTAGTGTTGTTCTTCAAACTCTTTCATTCCTTTCTTTGTATTGTGTTAGTCCTCTATGCTGAAGGCTGTAACCTTCATCATTGCTTTCGTATAGATTCAGAAAAGTTTATGAAACAAATTTGTTGCTGTTGTGATCCAAGTAACCCAAAATATTTAGTGTACTTCATAAGATAAGCCAGATGGACATGCTTTCAGCTTGATCGAGTGAGCTATTTATAAAGAGCACTGAATATTTTGAGTTCAGATACCAGAATGCTGATTTGCTTTATCTCAGAGAGTTTTTCCAAATATCTTTGAATCAGGAATGACGGGACCTTTTGAAGTAAATTTGTATTCAACGGATTGGTCTCATGACTGTTCCCTTTCACTGCTAAGGGACTTTGTTCAAGAAATGATCCAAATCTTCCCATCTCTAGCTAGAAGGATAGCAGTCTTTGTGCTTCTTTTTATTAGCTGACAGAGAGGAATAAATAATGTGAAATCTCTGGACGTTCCTTATGAAGTGATATTTGTTTTTGCAAAGATGTATTTTTGCAACCTCATATATAATTGACCTGGCATCAAAATTGTCCATTTTTAAAAGATGCAGATTTGGAACGACTTGAGAGAGCAATGTGCTTTATCAACAGCTGGCATCTCGCCTTCTTTTCAGGTTTCCGTTACGACATGATTCGTTTGTTCACCTTGCAATTTCTGACAGAACCTATGGACAGAGGCCAAGTTCTCAGGATCTGAGAAGTAAAGGTCAAAATCCCTTTTATTTGAATTTATAGTTTGCTTCTCAGTGAAGTTCTTATCAGTTTTTAATTAATTTTATTCACTAAAATGGAGGTAATAGTTCACCTACAAAATACATAATCACATTTTACAATAAATTCTGAAGCGCTTTGAGATGTCCTCCCAATGTGTGAGTTGCTGTATCAAATGCAAAGAGTATTAACAATAATAATCCTTGCATTTGATATAGTGCCTTATCACGTCTTTGAGGCGTCTCAAAGTACTTCACAAAGTAAACTGTAAAGTAGTGACTGTATATTTTGCAGGCGAAACGCAGCAGTCAGTTACCCAATAGCAGTCCACAAACTGTCGTGGATTGAGTGACCAGTTTATTTTTTTGTGAGAATTATTACCCCAGAAAAGCGATCCGCCAATCAAACTAACAATCTGGTTCCTACTTACTGCTAGGTAAACAGAACCGTTTATTATACCAAGTAATGAATGTCTTGGTTTACAATGTGATTTATTTTACATTTGTATTATGTCTTCTTGTACCCCTCTGCATATTAGCTAGGATGTTTACTTTACTAATACCAAATGAGGAGTGTGCCCACCAGCAGTGAAATATGAGACTCCTCCAGGACATGATTTGTATGTGGCTTTCAATTTTGATTAAAATTACAAGCTTTACAATCACCCCGTGCCAGCAATTCCTTTGATTTTTTTTGTGAAAACAAGTGGAGTATATAATCATAGAATCATAGAATGTTACGGCACAGAAGGAGGCCATTCGGCCCATCGAGTCTGTGCCGGCTCTTTGACAGCGCAACTGACTTTTATTAACTCCACTCACCAGCTTTCTCCCCATAGCCCTGCAAACCCGTCTTCCCCAGATACCTATCCAGTTCTCTCTTAAAAGCTGTTATCGAATCGGACTTCACTGCCCTTTCGGGCGGATCATTCCAAATTCTAACAACTCGCTGAGTGAAAACATTTCTTCCAACCTCTCCTCTGCTTCTTTTAGTAGATATCTTAAGACTGTGACCACGAGTCACAGACACACCTACCAATGGAAACAGCTTTTCCCTATCTCGCCTGTCGAAACCTTGTGCCACAAGTGAAAAGTTGGCAAATCAGTTTTCATATCTATAAATTTATCTTTAGGCAAAATGTTTGGAAACCTCAGGAGTAATGTTTGTGTATCTTACCTATGTTTAGTTGACACGGATACCAGAGCACACACGACACAAACAGTTGGCACAAAATAATTATAAATGTTTTTCTTAATTATTGTTTATCAGACATTTACACCAGGCTTGTTATGCTTGTGTCGTAAGTGCAAGGCTCGTGGTTGACAATGCTCTGGGTTGGGTGAGGAGGTAAAGTCTCCTTTGTAATGCTTTGTGTGCATTGATGGTGTGTTTACATACTGAAAGATATTTATTATGAAGATATTCTGTGCTTGGCAACAATATGTTGGAATTGAGTTAACTCTCCATGGCAGTCTTGTCAAGGGTCCTAGCTTGACAAGCATTGGGAAGCTTGCCCGACAGTGCTCCGAATGGCATACTGTGCGGGTTTAGCTGGTTAAACTCCAGCAGTAGCCTATCGCACTGTCAGGTGTCCCTAAGGCTTGGCTCTTGCCAACCTTCATCAAACATGCTCTGGAATTAGGGGTCCAGCGTGCATTCCTCTAGGGAAGGAGTGCACATTCTATACCAGACACAGGGAATTTCCATGGTGGCATACATATGTGAAACTCCCACATCCTCTTAATGATTGTTTCTGTATATGTCATGCGGAAAGATGACCAAAATAAAGACTTGTGCTAACTGCCCTGATAATGCAATGTATGGATTAATGGTGGATTCATTTACTAAGCAATATTTATTATGCGGCCATTTTATATATCTATTGCTCTGTCTCACTTAGTGCATGACAGACTTTGGACTTCTCCACATGTTAGAATTCGCTATTATGTTGAATTACAGCATGTTGTATCGATGAAGTCATGGAATAAAGCGCGTGTTCAAGAGAGTCACTTTCCAATAGATTTCATTCCTCATAACATTCAAGATTCAAAAATATAGTTAATATTTCTGCCCATGGATGTTTTCTTTGTAAATTACTTTATCAAACTCTATTTCCTCTTTTACCTTTGGGTGTTCCCACCTTCTACTCTTTCAGTTCCTTAATTTTTTACCCACTTCTATTAGATGCCTTACAAAAATCAAATGGCACAAAAAACAAATTTAACATCACATTATTAAAACCCAACTTTTTTTTTGCCTGAATAATGAGCACGACAACTGGTTTGAAGCATTTGCAGAGACTGACCACTTGATGGAGCTGAACTGCCTTACAAGATTCATCTGAAACGTTCCCAAAACAGCTCCAGTTCATGGATGGATCATTTTGATTCCACTAATTTCCATGATATATGTAATGGGCAGGATTATCAGAATTGAGTGAATTCTTTATCGTGGTCTCAGTGGTCCGGTCCCCGAGCCAGGCCTGTCTGCAGTACTCCATCACTGTTGATACCAAATCAGCCATTCTGGCTTGTTGGCAGGTAG